ATATATATATATATATATATATATATATATATACAGTATAATCCTGTTGTCACAATAACAAATCTCAAGCGGTTCAGTCAGTGTAGCTGTTTCTATTGGTATCTGTTGTATCAAACCCAGCCTTGTTTCCTATATTGTCTTTAAAGTATCAATACCTCATGTACAGTTTTGATATCACTCAGTAGATTACAGTAGAATGTGCTTCACTTATCAGTAAATCACATGACTGGTCACTTGAAAAAAAACCTGCTCCTGTCGTCTGGCTGAGGCAGGTAAGTCTCCAGGGCTCACCTGTCAGCCTGTCGTGGGAAAGGAGCCTTTATTTCAGAGTCATGGTTGGGGGGGGTTCGCTACCGTACACAACAGCCTGTGTGTGTGTGTAAGAATGTCGAATCCGGTGCCTCCCCTCCATCTGTGTCTCTCCTGAGCCGCGCGGACAATGTGCTTTGAGTGCAGGAGACGCGCTGCAGCCTGCTTCTCTCAGACGGCCTGGCTCCTCAGGGTCCAGCCCAGGCACAGAGCTGTCTTTGTCAGCCTAATTACCCCGCCTCTCCCCTTCTGCCGCTGCAGGGCCTCCACCACCACTCCCTGCCCGTGCTCCAAACTGAAGAGACACACTTCATATCACATTCACACACACACACACACACACCTGCGAGTGTGCTGTTGTCGAGTTATCATGCGCACTGAGGGCCAGTGGATCCAGATGTTCCCACATTAACGCAACCCTCACCTCCGGCACTCCGGGCTCTGCCAAAGCAGATGAGCCAGGCCTGGTCTTTTGGACACAGGGGTAATTTTTATCTGCTTTCGCAGCAGGCAGTCTGCCCTGGCCTGCAGGACAGCACAAAGATCGCTTTAGGAAAGAGATACCTCGGCTATCTGCTCTACCTGTGTACACGCTGCAGATTAACCTTGCGAGTTTAATGAAGCCTGTCTAAAGCGCACTTCAGCCGGGCTTTAAAGCGTTCTGCTGAGAGGAAAATCTCTCTGTTTCTCCACTCCTGGCTGCTCGCCAGCGCGCTAAAGACGAGGAAAGCGAATCCCGTTGAAGGTACGGCTTTGTTTACAGTGACAGACGCAGGAATAGTCTCCGCGACCATTCTTGTGAGAAAAAAACGCCATGGCGAATGTTTATTTGAAGTGACAAGTCAGAAACGGCACAAAACAGACTCATTCCACAGGGCTGACATTAACACACAATAAACCGAACTCCCAGAATACCTCACAATGCGATGCTTCTGCGGTTCTCAAAATTCTCAAAATTCTCAAAAAAAGGTCTCTGTAATATACCTCATGTAATATTAACGTCTGGGATTTTAACATAACGTGTCCATCTTCTCGGCCCCCAGGGTGCAAAAGCCTGTTTCCTGAGAGACATCCCCTTCTCGGCCATCTACTTCCCCTGCTATGCACACACCAAGGTGGCCCTGACTGATGAAGACGGGCGAGTGGGACCTGGCAGACTTTTGCTGGCAGGGGCCCTGGCGGGTAAGTCACCACGCACTCTCCGGTAGCCGCCTGCCACCGCTGGCTCCATTGTGGTAGGCCGTAATTAGAGTGCTCAGTGATTTAGGCTGTGTTTTGAAGTGCAGCGTGCCTGCCAAGGGTCGGATATTTTCCACTGTTTAATATATAGGGCTTGGAAGTTTGTGCTTTGAGCTTTGAGAGTGTTAAAAGAGGAAAAAAATATCTCAAAGTCCCAAAGTAGCCATACTGCAGGAGCAATAAACAGATCCTACGATACTGGCATGACCAGGCCAACACATCCAAGATCTGACTTGCAATATTTTTACAAGTCTCTCTTTCCTCGTCACTTATAACATACGATTCAGATCTGATGTTGTTTTTAATATTTTACTCTTGTGGTTCATCTTTAAGAAAACATTGTTGAAAAGACGACGTCTTTAGCCAAGCCAGTATGGTTTGGAATGTATGTGAAAGAGAATTAATATTTATTTCTAATCCTTTTTGATTTTTAAGATTTACTGCTTCTTGACTTGAGATTGAGATTGAAAAGCCATACATGGTCAGAGAGAGCTTAGCATTCCTGTCTTCCCCAATGTTTTATATCTGTCAGATGGTTTAAAGCAAGTTTTTATGGTTAGGTATGTTCTTATGGCATGTATCACTCGTTTACCATTTATCAGCAATTCGAGCTTCAAGGCAATTAGTGATTTACAGTCAGTTCGGGAAATTTAATTACACGCTCAGTTTGTGTGCCATTATTGGTGAGGCAGGCAGACTTCTGGGGCATTGACCAACATACAGTACAGTTGGATTTTTCCCTTTCTCATGCCTGTTCTTGAGGAAATGGATGTATGCATTAGATTTGTAATGTAGTATTTATTTCGCTATAAAGCCCTGTTCACACCAAGAACGATTAACTATAAAGATATCGATAAAGATATAGCAGAGTCCACACCACAGCTATAACGATTAAGGCATGGAGGTACGATATTGTTGGAATCACTTTCAGAATGATTTTTTCCAGCTGATGAACTATACAAACATTGACACCCAATCAGAATCGGATCTTGCTATAACAAGTGCGAGAATTTAAAGCGGCAGATGAGTGTGCGCTTAGAATAAATAACTGATATTGTCCGCTGGTGTGGACGCTAATATTGTCATCTTTATAGTTATCGTTCTTGGTGTGAACAGCGCTTAATTCCATATCTGGAATCTTTAATTTCATATATTTCAGTTTTTTTATTTTTTATTTTAGTATTTTAAGCCTGCCCAAGTTAATGCGCTAACTGGTATAATTTTAAATAGTTTAACAACATAAAATTTAATTTCATGAAAATGTTTCATTTTAGATTTTGCTAATGATAGTAACACTGATATAGACAGGACTAAAATGTAAAATGTTTTTCTAAAGATATTTTTATGTTCTTTGTGCTTAATAATGAAGGTTTTGTCCATCAGAGCAGGTCAACCGAGAGACCAAGGCTTGTAATTATTCAGATGGAAGTATTTTATTTAGATGTTAAAATAAAGCTCTTGAACGTGCGGTGGAGTCAGAATGCCGGTGGTGTGACTGCTCAGGCTAAATGCTATCGCTGATTTAGGCTATTAAGAGCTGAATTGGTGCCTCAGTGGCCTTTGTGCCGGACAGCGTGGGACAGGGCTTATGCCAGCCTCATTATTAAGCATTGTCTGGACTTTTAAATAAAAAAGGATGCATACCGTTTGATAAATGGTGCTTTCCGCATAAGATGTTTATAATGTTTGATAAAAAAGGCTTTCGTATTTATTTGACGGAATTAATTCACGGTGTGCATTAATCATAGATGGAGTCGCAGAGTTTACATACGCTAATGTTTTAATCCTGGCCTGAAAACTGAATTAAATTATATTCATGGATCTGTTCTATTCAAATATGATGTCTGAATCCTTGAAGTTATTACTTCAGTGTTCTAATGAATTCAAATCAGACTCTTTATTGACATGTGTGACTTCTCTTTAGGCATGCCTGCCGCATCCCTGGTGACCCCTGCTGATGTTATCAAGACCTGGTTACAAGTGGCTGCCCGTGCAGGCCAGACCACGTACAATGGACTCATTGACTGTTTCTGGAAGATTCTTCGGGAGGAAGGGCCTCGAGCTGGAGGTATATCTCGTAGACATACCTGAGACTAGTCATGCTAATGTTTTTTGCTACAAAAGATTTTGCAGTTAACCTTATATTTTAAAGGGACAGTTCAGCAATAAAATAAGAATTTCATCATCATTTACCACTTTCCAAACCTGTGAGATTTTCTTTCTTGATTGGACTACAAAAAGTAATTTACCAAAATTGCCCTTTGTCTGTTGCAGTTCTTAAATCTCATTGAATTCAATTATGGTGTGTCAGCACTTGTCACAGTTGGTTTGATGTCAATGATGAGACATTGTTGAAATCATACACTTCTTGATGCACCACACTTGAATTGAATGCAAGCCTAAATTTGAAACCTTCAGTTAAGAGGAAGCTTGTCAATGAATAATGTTTTAAATTTCACTTAGTTCCTCAGAGAAAACTACCACTTGATTTCAGAAGACTTTAAATATAGCACAAACATTGTATGGCCAACTTTTGTTTCTCTTTAATGATGATTTTTATATATATATATATATATATATATATATATATATATATATATATAGTTTT